TAGATATATAGATATATATATATATATATATCCCCAGTACTGGAGATCAAACTTGGGACCTTGAGCTTGTAAGGCAGGCAGCAGAACCACTGAGCTAAATCCCCAGCTTCAAATATATTTCTTACATCACATGTTTTAGTTCCTTTTCTCATTGCTGAGACAAAATACTCAACATTCAAGGTTGTTAAGGGAGGAAAAGTTTAGCTCACAGCTTGTAGAGGTTTCAGTCCATAATCAGCTGGCTCCAGGTCAGGGCAGCCTGACAGGGTCATCACAGAAACAGTCCATGGTATGGGAGGCAGAAGGCAGCAGCAGCAAGGAACAACAGCAAACCTGCCTTCTTTCTGTCCCTTTATATTCCATCCAAACTACAATCTGATTGATTGCTGCCACTCAAACTCAGGGCGAGACTTCTTTACCCTTAATCCTGGTATCACACACTTAATCCACATTTACACTAATTCAGGCACCTTCAAAACTCACAATCTATGAATGCATGAGGCTTTGGGGAGATATCTAAATACAAGCTCTAACACTACGAAAGGATTAAAAAAACCTTAAAGCTTCATTACCTGCAGATCTGTTATTTCTTGACATTCTTTAAAACATTCTTCAAGCCGAAAGAATGGAGACAGATCTACACAAAGAGAAAGATTTCTTGGAACACCTAAAATGAAAGTCATTTTCTCTCCTTCCTTCCTCTCTCTCCCTTTCTCTCTCTCCCTCCCTCCCTCCCTCCATTTCCTGCTTTCTTGCTTGCTTGTTTGATTGCTTGCTTCCATACTGGGCACTGTAACAAAGGGTGCTATGCTCTACTAGTGATCTACATCCCCAGCCCTTTTATTTTTTTCTTTTGAAACAAGGTCTCACTAAGTTGACCAGGCTGGCCTCAAAACTGTGATCCTCCTACCTCGGGCTCCCAAGTAGATGGGTTAACAGGCATGTACCAATATACCCACCCTTTTTCTTATTCTTAATCACACTAAAAGATAGCAAAAATAGTTGCAACAGCAATAGTACAATTGGGGCTATGGGACCACTGCCCTCCACTCACCTGCATGTGAGCAATGTCCCACGGCAACCTCCCTCCTCAACCTTTCTCCTAAGGCCTACTTCTCAGAAGCGGAGACAAGAAAGACAAAGACACCTGGGATCACCTTGGAAAATTCTGAGATCACAAACCAAACAAATATGTGCCAGATTCTCTGGCATGGCCTACAGAAATCTTATTTCACTTGGAGCTCATTGAAGGTTCATGCATATGGACTGCATCTCATATATCTAACAGAATAAATTATGGGAAGGGACATGCTCAATGGATACAACTGACATGATTCAGCACCCTATTAATCACATTGTCAGTCATGTTCTAGAAGACCCGATGGGAGGTGTCCTGGACCCATTTAAAATTCTTAAACTCAGTGCATTCAGCACTTATGCCATTCTTCTTCCTTCTAACACAAGCCCACTCACTCTGAGTGTACTATGACCTAATAAAACTTCATTAAACCTGGTTGCTTTTTCTTTACTATAGCGTGACACATCAAATTCTTTTTTCATTACTCACAAGAACCTAGCATCCTGACCAGAATCCCATCACCCACCATGACATCTATGCATTGGGGATTGGTAGGATATATAAAACTAAATGACTGACAACAATATCACAGAAGATAGGAGGACACAGAGTTTAATGTTCAGTTCTTAGACAGCACTATATAAAAATCAAGCTATGTTATACAAAGATATACTTTAATTAAAGATGTGCATTACAAATAATAGTGTAAACACTGAAGAATATTTTAAAGAGCTACAAATAATCAGCCACTTAAATAAATAAAAAATATGTTCTAATTTTTTAAACATGAGCCAAAGGAAAAAAGAACAAATGGAATAAATATAAAATAATTAGCAAGGGGGTAGATTTTACCTTAATCATATCAATGGTTACTTTAAATTGAAAGCATCTAAATATACTAATTGAAATACAGATTGTAAGATTGGATACCAATGCAAGACTCAAAAATACTGTCTATAAGAAACTAATTTTAAATATTAAGTCATCTAGTTAGAACATATGCTATGCAGACACTAATCAAAATATTGTCATTATTTAAACAAATTTCTACACCCCAGTTACAAATATCATTTAATATTGCTTAATTTGGAAAGAGAACACAATCTATTTATGTCAAATCAAGAAATTAAAATTCTCCCTAAACCTGTGGTTTCTGTTTCAAAGTTAATGCCAAAAAATATTCTCTTAACCTTTGTATTCATGGTATGAGTTAGCACTTCAGAAGAGAATGAAGGCTAATGTCTCAGCATTTGTCTAATAACAATTTGTTCACATTTAGCTCTGGCTGCACTGGTTGATGTGTCATATTTCTTTAATCAAAGCAGGAACATGTCTTGGATCATGTCTTGGAACATGTCAGTGGGAGACTGCATGCTTAGCATGTGTGAAGCCCTGGGTTCAATCCCTGGACCATAAAAATGATAATGATGATGATGATGATGATGACAATTTTGTGACTTTGCTGTCCAATATAAATGTAAACATTTACTAAACAAAATCCCACCAAACAGAGCATGATAGCTACTGTAATAGTCAGATTTTTGTCACTATAATGAAATATCTGAGATAATTGACTTGTAAAGAGAAAAAGTTTATGTTGGATCACAGTTTTGGAGACTCCAGTCAAAGATGGGGTGGATCCATTGCTTTGGGCCTGTGATGGGTGGGCCAGATGGCAATGGCAGTGGGCATGTGGTAGAGACAAACTGGTTACCTTATGCCAAGTAAGCAAAGTAGAGAAAGGAAAAGGCTAGGTCTGTAACCCACTTTAAGGGCATGTCTTCAGTGACCTAACTAGGCCCCAACACTACCACCCTGGGGAATGAAGCCTTCAGCCCATTGACCTATGAAGGACTCTTATCCAAACTAGTCATTATATTTTTATTTGCTGTTGCTGCATTCATTTGTCCAATTTAATTGCTCAAAGTTACACCAGCAACTCTTCTTATATTTCTGCCTTAGTCTTTCTTATACAATAAAAACTTCCTAAGCTTATCACTCCGCGTTTCCTTGTGTTTTGTTTTTTAATATATCTATTCAGTGATCAGTAACATAAAAATAATTTTCAAAGCACTTTTAATTCTGTCACATCAAGGTATTACAGAGTGTCTTAGTCTATTTATTGTTGGCTATTTTGGCTTATGGTTCTGTTCCAAGGTCAATGGGCAATAAATGATAATGGGCTTCTTACTGGCAGGGTACTAATGTCACTCATGAGTTTCTGAGGGGACAAACAATATTCAAAAAACAAAATAAATAGCACGTATAAAGTAGGTTCATCTGGTGATTCTTTCTACCACATAAAACTGCTATCTCTTTACGGGAAAGATCAACTCATAAGAAACAGGAATTTATTTTTCATTATTTTCTGCTCTAAAACTATATACCAAAATGTTTAAAATTTAGATTTGAAGCTGATTACATTTCAAGATAACTAATTTAGTACAACAAAGAGGAGTTTGATATATACAATTTCTGTTTAATAACTTTATATTGTAATAAATCTAAATCATTATATGTTTTTTAAAAGGTTCAAGGCATGAGAGTTCAAGATTTAAGGAAAAATATTACAAGTCTGCTTAGTTCAAAGACTACTTGAAGGCTATTTGCTGAGACATTAGCTTTCATTCTCTTTTGAAGCACTGGCTTGTACCATGAACACAAAGGTTAAGAGAGTGTGTTGGCACTAATGTTGAAACAAAAACCATAGGTTTGGGAGAATTTTTATTTCTTGATTTGACATAAATAGATTATATTCTATAAATTTACAAATTAATCAACCAATATGAAATAATGTTTGCAACTATCATATAGTCCACATTACATATTTAATCTCTTTTCTCAAAAGTTATTTGAATGCAAAAATATATAAATCAGGAAATAAGTACAAATAGAAACCAATTAGTTTATCTTTTTTTTATAACCTTAAAATACAATGAGAGTAACAAAATCAAGAAGTATATACTATATTATTCCCTAAAGTGTTATGATAGACTTACACAGAAGGTTATTGAGGATATCTACCTCAAAATATGGTGTCTTGAAGGCTATTTCCAGTTGCCCATTTTGAAGTATATCTTATAGAATAGATTGAACTAAGCCAAAGCTTACTTGAGAAAAATATGAGTAGTATGTACAAAAAAATGAATATCAAAATATATTTTCATAAATGTCAAATAAATGTATGTTAGTATTGAGGTAGTAATAAGTAAAGTGAGCCATGGCCAGATCACTAAGAAACTTGTTTGTGATACTAAAAACTTCAGATTTTACTCTGAAGAAAAATGTTATTTTGGGGAGTAAGACACCAAAAATTTACATTTTATAAAAGCTACTCTAGAATCAAAATGAAATATAAATTGGAGAAGCACAAGAGAGAGAGAGACCAATATGAAAGGGACTGCAGAAAAACAAGCAGGAAATTACACAGTCTCAAAGTAGGAGAAAGATAAAGAGTCCAGGTTAAGTAGGTGTGTTACCCTGGGTGATGGGCTCCCAGGGGACAAGTTTCCAGGTTCTTATGAACTATAAACAAGAATTAGATGTGGCACATGACAGTAAAGAAGCAACTAAGTTTAATGAAGTTTAAAGGGAGCAAATACACTCATAATGAGTAGGCTCATGTTGGCAGGAAAAATGGCACAAACAGAAAGAAAAAAGAAAAGAAAAAAAGGCACATGCACTGAATGGATTGGGTTTAATGTTCTGAAATGTGGGTGGAGTCTAGAATGCTTCCCATTGGGTCTTTCAAAGCATGATTGACACAGTGCTGAATACTGTGCTTGTCCTTTCCCATAATTCACTCTTATAATGGGATGCATGAGATGCAGTCCATATGTATAAACCTTTAATGAGCTCAACATGAAGAAATGTCATAATAAATCATTCCATGGGTCTAATACACATGCATCCTAGTTTGGGACTTCAGAATCTTCTGGGCTCAAGGGCTTTTGTTACTCTTATCTGTGCATTTGGGTAGTAGACCTTAGAACAAAGGTAGTGATGATAGGGTTAGTCCTGGGGTGTTACCAGGTACAAGTAAGTAGAAGGGAATGGCTCCATAATCCCTAATTGTAATATATATATATATATATCTCACATATATGGTTTATAAACACACACATACACACATGTATGGTTACAAGATACAACTGAAAAGGTTTAGTGGTTATTGGATGTGAGACACGAAAACAGAAATTTTGAAGATTCACAATCTTTTGAACAACACTGAGTGAGGATCTTTAGGATATACTGAGGTTTTTAAAATACTGAGATTAATGAACCTAGCAATCATCCAAAAGACAATTACAGAAAGATATATTGGAATCAAAGGAAAGATTGAGTTAGGTATTTGGGAGTTAGTTCCCAAGCAAAGAACTAGAAATCATTGGTGAGATTTCTCTGGAATGACAGTTGTTTCTTTTGCTAGAGATTGAACAAATACTAAGCATGCACACTACCACTGAGCTGTGCTTCCATCCCCTCAAATGATAGCTCTTAAAATGTGTTCCTAAAACTTCTGGTTGACTCACTGTAGCCTGCAGGCAGTCTGTATGTAT